TAGCCGATGACGCCTAACAAGGCAGAAAAGGTCTTCCTAGTGTCCCCTGTCTCTGCTGGTAATGTCCTTCTGCCTATTTTGTAAGGGCAATACAGAATTCGCTTACAAAGCAGTTAAGAGAAACCGCAAACTTACAGAGGATGCAATATGACAGGCTGCTCGCGTAGAATGTCAATTTTTTCCTTTCGGAGGAAACCCTCAGAGTCGCCCCTTGCGTCAGTGGTCTCGGATGCCGGAAGATTGACACAATCCGCAAGCAGATTCTCCAGACGCCCTAAAACTCGGAGGCTTATGTCTTCACAACTGTTCAAGAGAGACGAGAACATTGTCCGAGTATACATGAGCTCCTTGAAGGAGTCAATCAGGTTGGTAGAAAGATGCCTAGTGGAGTCCAACCGCAGCTTCAAGTCTGTCGAATTCTTGAAGGGTCTGAGGTTAATGATGATTTCGGCAGTCTTTTGGGAGCAGCCAGGCATGAGTGACAGCTCTTCGGCGGGTGCCTCATTGAAGAACGACATGAGGAGAAGCCTTTCCTCCGAATTTAGATCTAAGCCCTTAGGAGGCAAGAAAACGAATGTTTTTATAGGAATGTGTTTTGCTTGAAATAGGTGGAGGTGTATTGACTATACGTAAAAAAGGAAATGAAGATTCGTGTCATATTCAATCACAAAACTGCAGCAGAAAATTGAAATGTAAGCGATTAAATAGGTCAGCGAATTGTGGCCATCAATTGTTATTATCTGCGGCAGATGCAAAAAATAATACGGGCTTTACCTCCCAAACAAAGTCGTGTGCGCCGACCAATCCGGACTCTTAAGCATTTAATAAAATCGTACAACAAACCCTAGAGGCTTGCTGAAAATATATCACCTCAAGACAACAAAAAATAAATAAGTTCAATCCGACAAAACAACCCTTAGCATTGATCATTATGTACGGGCTCTAAGTGACGATGTAATTTTTTTCCAGTATGTGTGGTGAGGTGGCAACCGAACTCCATCAATTGATCAGAACCGTGTCTTTAGCTTACATCGTCAATATCTTCTTGTAAGTTTTTGTCTTGCTGTTGTTGTTCAGAAACAGCGCCCAATTCGTTTGCCTTTCCGCGGGTTCTCTTCCCACGTCGTCGGTGGGCTGCAAAAAGAAAATATCTCTTAAAGGGCACATTCCTTGGGGGGTCGATAAGGGAAGAAGTAAAACAAAAAGCACGCACAAACTACGTCCAGGCCCAAAGCTTACCATTTGGAGTGCTGACAACGCCGACACCAGCCATGAAGTTTGCGGCAGACTCTTCCACACCCTCAATAGGTTCGGCTTCAGATTTAGATGGCCGAAGGACCTGTACGCGGGTATTTGCGGGACCTTGTAATTCTTTGGTCACATATTCACGTTTCTTCATTTCAGCATCCGAAATACGATTACTGCGGAAAAATCTGTTGCCACTAGGCGGTTGGTTAGGCTGCTGAGTATTCGCACTTATGGCAGCGGTGGGCTGGTCTGGTTGCTCGTTTGTTGAGACTGGAGGCACAACGGCTGCCGTTGATACATTTGTCTCCGTAGCAACCTTAATGAGATGAAAGAGGAAGTAAGCAAACAAGAAGGTTGGTGGTCAAAATCCAAAACTATCATGATTATAGGCCTAAACCCATTCCCTCAAGTAGAAGAATCAAATTAACGGTCAACGAAAGAAAGCGCCTACCGTTGGACTAGGTGCTGATTGGTGGGCATAGGAATGCTGGGCAGTTTCCACATGTGCTGCTGCAGAGATTGCTCCCGGTGGTATTGGCTGAAACAGGCATATTTGGAGAAAACTTTAGAAGAAATCGCGGAAAACCTGTGATTGTAAAACAAGCAAGCAGGTAAAAATAAAAGCAGATTCAAACTTTATGGCACGCCGTCACTAGAAAGGGGATAAAGAAATGGAAATACCTTTGTTTCACCGTAAAAGGAGTGAGAAAGTAGAGGGCGGAACGCATCTGAGTTGCGTATGTAGTTCTTCTCAGTCACCTCTGCTGACTCAACGGATCCATCTTTACCAACTATTACGCGTCGGTAATAACGATTTCCAGATCTCCGACTCGGACGACCACGGACAAAAGGTGCATTGATAAGTTCCGGTGCCTTTATGTTTGGAATAATCCTCGTCTTTTTCGGCTTTTGAACTACAACAACAAAAAACATAAATGCGCAGAAGAAATGAAAGCAGTCCTGCTAAACAGCATTTAATTCACAAAAGAGCACTGTGAACACATAGGAAAGCAAAAACAACATTAAAGCCCAATGACGAGGCAGTAAAGCCGACGACAATCAACGAACTATTTCATACTGTCTTATATAGTTACTGAATAACTTTCAGCAGATATAGTATAATCATTTACGCACGCGTCAGCACGCCGAAGACATGATCCGCTCGAAAGAATCGTCAGCTCAGGCATCAAGCTCTTCCTTGGGGTAAGTAGAGCAATATCCTAAAACACCCCCTCCCCCCCAAAAAAATCTGCGCTAGAAAAGTTTCCAAGCGAACGAAAGGAAGGGGTGGCTCCAGACGATCGACAGCCTATAGCTAAGTCTGAAATAACTGTTGTATTTAGTACACCAGTAAGGACGAATACCAGTGCCAGAAGCTTACATGCATTTACAAAACAGCCGAAACTGTCAATACGCTCTTGAGATGTCCACTACAAAATAACTCCCTGATCTTGTGCATACTGCAAATTTACAACATACGAATCC